CATCCTGGGGAGGGAGGTGGTATACTGGGGAGGTGGTATACTGGGGAGGGAGGCGGGAGGTGGGCCCAGTTTGTGTATAGAGGGTGGTCAACACCAAAGTCCTTCATCTCCTGCCGTCTATAGTCTTGGAATGATGTCCTGTTTCACATGTCATTACTTTAAAGGTCTTCATTGGGCTGGATGTGGTGGTTCCCACCTGTATCCCAATACTTTGGGAGGCCGAGGTGGGAGGATTACTTGAGGCTAGGAGTTCAAAACTAACCTGGGCAATGTAGCAAACCTGTTCTGTAATTTTTTTTTTTTTAATTAGCCAGGTGTGGTGGTACACACCTGTAGTCCCAGCTACTCAGCTACTCAAGAGGCTGAGGTGGGAAGCTTGCTTGAGCCCAGGAGATTGAAGCTGCAGGGAGCTATGATAGTGCCATTGTACTCCAGCCTGTGCTACACGAGACCCTTTACTAAAAACAAAAATGCAAACTAAAAACAAGTTGTTCATCATTCTCATTTTAAAAATAACTCTGGGATGGGTGAGTGGCTTATGCCTGTAATCTCAGCACTCTGGGAAGCTGAAGAGGGAGGATTACTTGAGCCCAGGAGTTTGAGACTAGCTTGGGCAACATGGTGTGACCTTGTCTCTACCAAAAAAATAAAAAAGTTAGCCATGCCTGGTGGCATGTACCTGTAGTCCCAGCTATTTGGGAGGCTGAGGCAGAAGAATCACCTGAGCCCAGGAGGTTGAGGCTGCAGTGAGCCGTGATCATGCTACTGTGCTCCAGAATGAGAGACAGACCCTGACTCAAAAAAAAAAAAAGATTAAAAAATGACTGTGAATATAGCTATAGAAAGCAGAGTTGTGTGGCAAGTTTCCCCTAGGCCATGTTTGAGTTACAAAACAACAATTTAAAGGAATTACAGACATTACAGAAGAGCAGGGACGCCTCCATCCATCTCCTGACCATAAATTCACATGTGCTCTTCTCACGTCCCAGGCACCAGGTGGGGCCTGGGTGGCACCTGCGTCAACGTGGGTTGCATCCCCAAGAAGCTGATGCACCAGGCGGCACTGCTGGGTGGCCTGATCCGAGATGCTGGCCACTATGGCTGGGAGGTGGCCCAGCCTGTGCCACATGACTGGTGAGGACCCTAGGGTAGGGGAGGAAGAGGACACTTTTCCTCCGTGAACCCTCGTGGGGATGGTCTGCAGGATGGTTTCTCAGCCAGGGGTGACTCCATGCCCATGCCCAGATTTCTGGCAATGTCTGGAGACACTGTTGATTGTCCCTTGGGGAAGGGTTTGCAACATCTCCCAGGGGGAGGCCCAGGATGTTACTGCAGTGTGGATAGCCCACCAAGAAAGGTCCAACTGCAGAGGCTGGGCATGTGGGATGGAAAGTGCTTCAGTTGAGCTCTTCCGGGGAAGGAGACCTAGGTGGCTCTGCTCAGGGTCACCCACAATGGCTCAGACGGTTCTCAGATGGGCCGTTGCCTGCAGGGGTAATGTTTGGGACACAGGGCTGCTGCATCTGGGTGGCTGCAAGCCAGAGCCTCTGTCTTCTGTGAACCTAAAGGTCCATGGCCCCAAACCTGGGACAGACAGTGGCATGTCACACTCTGCCACCTTTAAAACACCCTCACTTGGTATTTCTGCTAATGTATCTACTAGGCCATTGTGGCTCTGCAGCTAATGCTTGTGTCATAGTTTTGCGTTTTGTGCTGGTGTTCACAGGAGGAAGATGGCAGAAGCTGTTCAGAACCATGTGAAGTCCTTGAACTGGGGGCATCGCGTCCAGCTGCAGGACAGGTATGGGAGCTACGTGACCCTGGTGGCATATGGCTTGGCCTTCTGGGGCAGGTACTTCCTGACCTCCTCTGTTACCTTGCACCTGGACGTACAATTACTGAGGGTTTGCAAGAGTGTGCCCTGCAGGCTCTGGGGCTCTGTGGCAACAAGATGAACATGGATCTGCTTGTAGGTAGGGTACAGACAAGGAGCAGATGGGGTGACTGCAGGAGAGGTGGAGGCTACCCTTTGACTCTCCTGAGCAGAACCTAGAGGCACCAGGAGTGGGCAAGGCCATGATGGCTGTGCAGGGAAGAGGACGCTGGGAGGCTTCTGGTTGGCATATGTAGACAGAAATGGGCCCAGGGCTAGCAGCTAGCAGGGGGCAACCCATTGGCAGGCCTGTTCTGGAGCAGGAGACTTTTTCCTGCCACTGTGATGTGGTTGAGCTTGGTAGCCACAGGGGTGGGGCAAAGAGGAGCCTGGGTGCCACCCTGGTCCCCACACCCACACCTATACTCCCTGGCTTGTCCCCACACCCCCAGCTCCTGAGCCATCCACTCCAAACCTATGACTCACACCTCCTGCCCCCACACTGAGAGTCCCGTGCCTCACTGACCTCCTGGGGCATGGGTTTTATGCTGGAACAGATGTCCATGCATTGACCTTTCTGGCCTGGGACCACCACTCCTGTCAGCCCCTGGGAGCCCAGCAAAAGGCTGATGCAGCCTCCCACCTGCAGTCTTTTCCTGGGGCTCAGCTTCCGGAAGAGCAGGTGCTGGGAGCTGGCATCACATCAGCCCACTCTGCTCCTGTGCCCACGCAGGCCATGGGGTGGCATCTCTCAGAGGTCTGGCACTCCCCCCATGCACTGTTCTCTCAGCCTTGTGGGGTCTTCCTGGGGCCTTGTAGCAGGGAGCAGTTTTGTGCTTATGAAATCCAGGAAAGCTGAGGCAAGACGTGGCCCCTGCCAGCTACCTCCCCCTGCCTACCCACCCAGGCACTATGGGGGCTGTGGGCTCTGCACTCCCTCCTTTGGGCCCTGGTCAGCTCCCAGCTGGGCCCCAAACAGGCCTGGTCAGTGCCAGCTCCGGAGCTGCCATGGAAGGAGGCTGGTGTGGCCCTGTGTTGTTGCCACTTTTTGGCTATTCTGAAAAGCGCTACTGTGAATGTCGTGGGTCTGTCTCACAATGCCACCTGGCTGTCGAGGTGATAGAGGGTGCTTTCTGCAGGAACTTCACACAGCTCACCGCCAATGGGGCACAGGCATGTGGGCGGAGAAGAGGTGGACTCAGCAGAAGGTGGAACTTCCCAGCTGTTGCTGGGGTGAGGCCTCTGTCATTAGAAAGTGCTTGCCAGACCATTACCCCCTGCCAGCCTTGTCACACCTGTTCTCCCAGCCTCACTGCACCCCTGAAGGCAGGGGTGACCCTTACTCTGTAGGCCTCTGAGTTCCCTGCTGGAACACGCCCAAGGGATCATAACTGCCCCAAGGGAGGCCTGACCACCTCCCATTGCACACCAGGCTGGACGTGCCTCCCAGGACCCAGCCAAGCTGGCTTCTGTCCCTGCCTTTGACACTTGTGGTCACCATGTCTCAAGGAACTGGGAGTGAGGGGCCCCACTCCCCGGCCCAGCTGTTCACTTGTCTCCTGCCCCACCTGAGCTGAGGCTCTGGGCCCTGGCAGTGCTCCCCATTTAATCCTGTTGATGAGGTTTAATTTGCAGAGAAGATATTTGGAAATCTTATCTTCTGTTGCAGAAAAGTCAAGTACTTTAACATCAAAGCCAGCTTTGTCAATGAGCACACGGTGTGTGGTGTTGCCAAAGGTGGGAAAGAGGTGAGTGTCTGGCCACCCTGGGGGCTGCCCCAGGGGCTGTCCTGACTCCAGCCTTGGTGGCCTTGGGGCTGTTCTCAGTGATGAACGTTGCTGGAGTTGAGAAGATGGCTTCCTTTGAGGCTGCCCGTACTTCTTAAAAACAATCAAACCATTCCTATGAGATATATGTCGCACCAGGCTGCCATGCCACTTAGGGTGACGGAACAACAGGACCAGTGATCATACCCTCCTGGCAAGATTTTGCTGGGAGGAGAGCAGAGGAGAGGGGACGCCTGCACGGTGCTTGGTAAACTGTGAAGTGCTTGAAGTTAGAACACTATGTCCCTTCTGCCTGGCCCCTTCCCACCCCATGGACGCTTGATGGGATCCCAGCTCTGAAGGGCCCCCAAGCTGCTGGCTGAGGGTCTACACTGCAGGCAGGGGCTGTGGGCATTCAGCCCCCAGTGGGTAACCACTGTGTGTCTGTCTGACCCGTGGCCCCCTTGGTTTTCCCCACAGACCCTGCTTTCAGCTGACCACATCGTCATCGCCACTGGAGGGCGACCCAGATACCCCACACACGTGAGTGTCCCAGAGCACAGCCTCTCCACACCGTGGTGCCTCTGACCTCTGAGCTCGTGTGACCCACCCAGTGGCCCATTCCCTTTCCTCCCACACTCACTGTCGTCTCTCTCTGCTGCTTGAGCCGCTCAAATCCACTCTGTGAACGCAGGTACCAGTGACCTCCTAGCCAGATCCTCAGAACTCTGCTCACTTTACTGCCGGCTCCCGGCCCCACTGGCCTGTCCTTCTGTCCCACATTCCATGTCCTGAGTCTCCCTTGTTGAGTCTTCCTTTTCTCTTTACCCTTAAGATGTTGGAACGTCCAGGATGAAAACCTCATTCTTGTCCTGGCTCGGTGGCTCAGCCTGTAATCCCAGCACTTTGGGAGGCCGAGGCGAGTGGATGGCCTGAACCTGCGCGTTCCAGACCAGCCTGGGCAACTTGACAAGACCTCGTCTCTACAATAAATAAAAAATTAGCCAGGCATGGTAGCGCATGCCTGTAGTTCCAGCTGCTTGGAAGGCTGAGGCAGAAGGATCTCTGGAGCCCAGCAGGTCGATGCTGGGGTGGCCGTGAGTGTGCCACTGCACTCCAGCCTGGGCAACAGAGTGAGACTCCAATTCAACAACAACAACAAAAAAAAAAAAAAAAAAAAAAAAAGAAAGAAAGAAAACCTCTTTCTTCATCTTTCTCCTCCTTCTCCCACACTTTTTAAAAGTTTGAAATAAAACTCCCATGCCTTGGAGTTCACCTCTGATGGAGGTGCACGTCAGTACCTTTCAGTGTATTCATGGAGCTATACAGGCCCCAGAGTTCTCTTCACCTTCCCCAGCTGAAAATCTGTCCCCATTAAACATGAGCCCCCCTACCCCACCCCACTGTTCCCCTTGAAACTCTATGAACCTAACTGCTCCAGGGATTTTGTATAAGTGGAGTCACACAGTGAGTCCTTTTGTGACTGACTTGCCTCACCAAGCAGAGAAGGTCCTCAAGCTTCCTCCATGTTGTGGCACATGACAGAATATCCTCCTCTCTAAGGCCAAGTAATATTTCATGGTGTGTATCTAGCACATTCTATCTACTCACTTGCCCATTGGTGTGGACCTAGCATATTCTCTCTGCCTGCTTACCTGTTGATGGACACTAGGTTGTTCCACTTCTCGGCTGTTGTGTGTTGTATGCTGTGTCCAGGTCTCTCCGTGGACACATGTCACTGCTCTTGGTTATACACCTGGGAATGGACCTGCCAGATCATGTAACTCTGCTGAACCTTTTGAGGACCCACCAGACAGTTTTCCAAAGTGGCTGCGCCATTTTCATTCCCTCTCGCAGCATGTGTGGGTCATGGCTTCTTTTTTCTTTACTTATCTCATGATTTTGTGTCGAAAGCTGAACCTGTCACATAAAGTAATGTGGTAGCTCTGGAAATCAGATTTTCTCTCCACCCAGGATTTTATTGTTGTGACTGTTTGGTGACTCCTCTGAACCAATTTTGTAAAGCCTTTGTTCTTGTGTGTGGCCACTAAAGTCTTCTTTGGTTAGCTTAGTAGTCAGCTGGCACCTGGAACCAAGAAATCTCTCAATCTTTGCTGAGGGCTCTGTACATTTGGGGCTGCCTTCAATACTCAGACAGCAGACAGCTCTGCCTTAGCCCTCACTTCTGCTTGTGTGGAGATCAAGGTCCTCCTGAGTGAGAGCTCAGGCTTCCTCTGTCCTTCCTGGTGCGTGCACAGCCCGATGCATATGCCTGGACTTCTGGGTTCCTAGTAATGCACTAGAGGTTTCAAAGGCCCTATGAACACATCATTTCTCAGCTTTTCCTTTTAAGCGTTTTGGTCAGTATGTTGTTTGCCTCAACTGTTATCTGTCGCCTCAGGCATCTGTGAAGTTAACTTTGGACAAATGACCCTGGGGAGAGGCATTTAGCCCTAGGCACGTTCCAGTGAGGTCAGATAAAGGAGCCCTCTGAGGGGACTCCCAGGGAACCCTCAGCAAAGTCAGATGTTGGCTCTTCATTGGGAAGAGGGCTTTGAGAGGCTCCAACTGGGCTCTGCTTTCTCCAATACTGTTGCTGTTCTGAGGCTGCCCCAAAGGAGGGAAGGGGCATGGTACATTAAAGCACCCCAGCATCCCCATTCTTCCTGAGCTTCAGCCATTTTTCTTGACTAAATGCTCTCTGTGTTGCTGAAGCCTCTAGTTAATTTCCATAGTTGTGAGAAAGTTGGATCTTGCCATTTTTGCCAGTTTTACTGACTGTTGTTAAAAGAGGGTGGATACCTCCTGGACCAGTCTTGTGGGGAGCAGAGCTGCAAAAGGGGCTCCATAGTCAGGGTGGGGCTGGGACAGCTGCTGCAGGAAAAGCCAAGGGTAAGGTGGGAGGATGAGTGGCTTGGCCAATGCCACTTCCTTGTGGGTCTCCCAGGGCCTCCGTGTGGGCTGTGGTGAGTCCCATGAAAGCCACAGGTCCCACGGGCCTGGAGGCCACACTGGCCTCTGAGGTAGACCCAGGCTGGGTATGAATGGAGGCAGAGCAGGGGGAGGTTATGCTGTCTCTCAGATGGGAGCAGTGCCTGAGGCTTCTGCATTCCCAGCCTCTGCTGTCCTGAGCTTGCTCTGGAAATGGGGAGTGGAGGACCCCTAGGAGCATGAGCTTCTCCAGTCCTCAGAGCCCACAGGACTTCTCTGACCTTCCAGCAGCAAAAGCTGCCTCCCGAGGGGCCAGCCTCTGTGCACAGAAATGGGCTCAGGTGGACTGCATGGCCATGGGACAACACTGTGCCCGTGTTCAAGACATTGTAACAGATGGGGTCTAGTGACTGCCTCACCTGGCAGTGGTCTGTCTAAAGTCCCTGGAGGCCATGGTTCCTGAGGCACTGGGCAGAGCTGCATAGGCATTGTGTTGGATGCCCTGCCAAGGGGGTCCTGAGCCACTCCCCACACCTTGTGGACAACTGTGAGTCCCCAGGGCCCACAGGGGCTGCAATGGGTGTTCCAGGCCTGGGGGACACAGCTCCATACTCCTCGCCAGCCCTCCCTGGGTGTCTGCCAAGACTTGGGTTTCAGTCCCTTTGATGGTCAGACCCTTTGGTTTTCCTTGAGCAAACCCCAGAAATCTCTGACTTTATTTTTTTTTGCCAATTGGAAGCATAAACTGTTTGAGATCCATTTCCTCCCCAGCACATCCTGCTCTCACACTCAGAGACCATGTGCCCCTGGTTCCCACCTACTCAGTGCCCCTCATCAGGTGATGTGTGCAAATCCCAGGCATGCCTTTCCCTCCACCTCCCAGACTGGCCTGCGAGTTGCACACATCTTTCAGCCCAGTGCCCTTGGAGCCACCACCCCTCAGGCCCAACTGCCCTCAGCCCATGGCGTCCACATCCCACACCCTGGCTTGGTTTTTCCCTGCCACTGGGATGCTGCAGAGCTCTTCCAGACCCTGGCATGGTGACCAGTCTTCACCCACCACATCTCTCCAAGTCTGGGCCCCGAGCCTAGGTACCACCCCCTGGGCCTGCATGCCCATCTCCTCCCTTCTGGGGATGTGGACAGACTCAGGGGTGCTCAGCTCTCCACCTGTGACCCATGCCCCTTCTGGGGAGCAGAGAGAAAGGAGCCATTGATTGTGCCCCCCTGGGGGGACACAGCCCAGGAGACACCAAGTCAGATACAGACAGGCTATCTTGTAGCCTCGAAGAGGCCATAGCCTGAAGACAAGGATGTGGGACAAGGAAGCCCTGCCCACATGCGGGTGAGGGCAGTTCTGGTTGATTCAAGTCTGTCCTGGGACAGGCTTCATGGTGCTCTTGTCCCATGGGTCCTTTTATCTTGACAGATCGAAGGTGCCTTGGAATATGGAATAACAAGTGATGACATCTTCTGGCTGAAGGACTCCCCTGGAAAAACGTAAGGCCTACTGTGTGCATGGGGCGGGGGGCCTCTCCTTGCTTTCAGAGTGAGCACTACGGCCCTGAGAGCCTGTGCTGATGCTTCCCGGCGCTTCCTCCTGGTTTACCCCAAAGGGGGAGCGAAGGTCTGCCCCTTTGCAGGGTATGTGGTTGCGTTGGAGGTGGGAACACGCATGTCACATAGAAGGAGTTAGCTGTTTGTTATCTAGGTCAGTAGTTGTCTAACAGGGCTCCCAGGAGCCTTGGGGTTCCAGTGGGCCCCCTCAGGGGAATCGGAGGACACGAGAGACCAGATGTCCCCATCCTCCCCCAGATGTCCCCACCATCATCTGGTTTTCGTGTGGCTTCCCTGAAATCAGCAAAGGCTCTATAAGCCTCGGAAGCCACAGCTTGTTGTGGAAGGGAGACCTGCAGCATGCTCAGCTTCACCCTGGAGCAGGTACAAAGGTGCTAGTGCATTCCTGAGCCCAAATAGCAGCTGTTTTGGGTTCTGGGTCCAGTCCTGCCGAAACTTCATACTGGCAGGGACCAGAGAAGCCACCAGAGGGCAGCAGAGGCCTGGTGGAGAGCAGAGCTCCCCAACTTGGGTCCTTGCCAGAAAATACCAAATACTGGTGGAAAGTGTCCCAGCAGGGGGAAGGAGTGTGCACGTGTATGCACACAGGTATTTGGGTGCCCGTGTCACATACCCTTCCTGTCATCACTGTCACACTTCACAGCACATCTGTATTTGAGGACAGGTCTTGATTCCCTGAGTGGATGTGGTGTCTCTCACGAATGAGCATTTCAGCAGCTTCTTTTTCGTTTTTATAAATGCAGAGATGAAAGAGATGCATTTCTGTATCATCGTAAGTGCTTCCTATACGCTTTTCCAATTTTTTTTTTGTGATGAAACAGACATAATATAAAACGTACATTTTAACTATTGGTAAATGTGTGGGTCAGTGGCATTAAATACATTCATAATGTAGCTTAACCAAAACCCCCCATCCAGCTTGGGAACTCTTTTCATCTCGCAAAACTGAAACTCTGGACCTGTGAAATACCAGCTCCCCACTCCCAGCCCCTGGCACTCACCATCTACTTCCTACCTCTATTAATCTGATGACTCTAGGTACCTCCAATGAGGGGAGTCATACTGTATTTGTCCTTTCATGACTAGCTTATTTCACTGGGCATACTGTCCTCAAGGTCCATCCACGTAGCATGTGACAGGATTTCCTTCTTTTCAAGGCCGAGTGATATTCCATTGTGCTTATACCACAGTGTTTATCCATACATCTGTCGACGGACACTTGGGTTGCTTCCACCTCGTGGCTATTGTGAATTGTGCTGCTGTGAACTCAGGTGTGCAGATAACTCTTGGAGGCCCTGCTCTCAATTCTCCTGAGTATTTTCCCAGAAGTGGGATCTCTGAAGCATGTGACAATTGTGTGTGTGATTTTTTGGGGAACCATTCTGTTTTCTACAGTGGCTGTACCATTTTACACCCCCTGACAGTGCACAGGGCTGTGGTGTCTCTGTGTCCTGGCCAGCACACGCTATTTCCTGTCTTGTTGACAGGCTATACCAGTGGGTGTGAGGGGGTCTCACATGCTTCATATGTCCCTTTTAGGGGTTTTCCCTAGATGTAGAAAGCTAGGCCTAAAGATCGGTACCCTTCAACTGTAATGCTTCTGCTCACAGGCTGTCCTCACCCGTTCCGTGAGTACTTCTGCCTGGTCCCCTCATTTCTCTGGCCTGGGCATCAGCTTTTTGATTAGATGCAAAACAAAAAGGAGCCTCTCCCCCCTCATCTATGGGGTGGGCAGCAGTGGCTACTCTCCATGGTGTGTTCACGTCCCTCTAGAGACCACTCTGGGCTCACACTGGTTTGTGCCAGTGGCCCAATGCCTTCCATGGCTCTCAGGTCATGGCTGCCTCTTTACTTAGTGATACTATTTCATGCAGAAGTTTTACATTTTCGTGTCATCACATTAACTCACTTTTGCCCATTGTGCCATCATTTCTGGGTCATCCATGTGTTATCCTTGTTGGCTGCAGGTTACATGGGGTCTGGAGGCATCTGGTCAGTCCCTTTCATGTGGGCACTGCCTTGTGGCTGAGTGTGTCCATGAGCATGAGTGTGTGCGCCAGTTGTCTGCCTGGGCCTTGGCTTCCCTCTCTGGTTTTCTCCTGTGATTTTTTCCTTCCCTTCCAGCTGGTATGTGTCAGGGTGGGAGCCATGTCACTCCCGATGAGATTTCCTCAGCTTCCCGTGTCTTGTCACTTGTGTGATGTACAAATGGTTTAACTTCTTTTCAGTGTAGCTTAAATCTCTTTTACAATTCGTGGCTTTTAGATTTATGGCATGCTCAGGAAGGCCTGCCCCACCCCCAAGATTATTTTCCTTTAGGGCTTCCACAGACTGAATTTTCTCTAACGTGTTTGCATCCCTTGGGTGGCTGCAGCTTGTCTGTGGCTCAGTGGAGACAGGCACTGGGATCCTGCCATTGGCCATCTCAGAGCACTGTCCTCACCTGGGATCCCCCACATCCTGCCCATGGCTCTGGCCACCAGGGCGGCTCAGTTTTCAAGCCTTCTTTGCTTTCTTCTGCACTGACTTCAAATGGTGGAATGCGGAGAATGCTCTGTCTGTTGAGCCAGTGGAGAAACGGCCTTGAACATGCGGGTGCCTTTGCCCAGCTCCTCTGTCCAGGCCTGTGTTTGCCTGGGCTTCTGGCTGTCTTCGTGGACCAGAATTTTCTGAGTCCTGGTCACGCACGTTTCCTGTCCAAGGTAGCCCACTTGGGACTGAGGAGGGTCCGGCACTGTGGGGCCCACCGCCCTGCCACCCCAGGGACTCGTTTCCCTCAGCAAGGTGGCACAGGGCTGGGGACCGCACCCCTGTGATCCTGTGCTGAGATGGCCTGCTTGACCAGGAAGACACGGCTACAGATATTTTGGTCAGAAAAGAAACTGCAGTGTTTATTTTCTTCAGGAAAAAAACATTTAGAAGGGTTTTTTTTTAAGCTCTTTCGTTTAGAAGGAATCTAGGTATGTTATTGTTTAAGAAAAAAAAGTGTTTGCAATGTATCAGTCACCCGTTTCGTTCTGAGCATGATTTATGTGAGGAAATGGTTTTTTTAAAAATTAAGCTGGAGATATATCCCTGTACGATGCTTCTGTGAAAATGCGGCTTTTGTCCGGTGCTGTTAATGCAAGTTGTAACAGTGTAATATGGGAGTCAGTGTTTACATGTTACATTCCTCCGCGCAGTCAAAATAAGCCCGCAGGGTCTACAGTAGCATTTCTGTATTTTATCAGCTTGGGCTGGGGCGGAGGGGAGGCCTCCACTCACACTTGGAGGGGCTGTTTCTGCCAGATTTATTTGCCTTATAAATATTCCCCGTGTTTATTTTAACTCGCCTTTAAAATGGAGCTGAAATTAATATGGACCCCAGGGCTGCTCCTGCCCAGAGTGCCTCCCATGGCCGGGTGGGGATGTTTCTACCTAGCTCCATCCAGGAGGCCGGGTAGGCGGCCCAGGGTGCCTGATGGCCCTGTGCCCTTCCTGCAATGGGCACTTTGTCCCCCAGGTGGCTTCTGTGTCTGGCCCCAGGCTCCCCTTTCCTGCAGTGGGTGCAGACCTCCTCTTTCCTCTCCCTGCAGGCACGGGCAGCCACTGGGTCCTTCTCTCTGGGTGTTGGCATGGGGCACAGTAACCAGTAGCTCCGGGCCTGGCCAGCAGAGCCCACAGTGGGGCCTGCAGCCTCAGCTCCTTTCCATGCTGCCCTTGCCCCCAAGAGGCCTTCCAGGTCCCATGGTGTACCAGGGGGAACCCCTTCTTCCTTCACCAGCATCCAGTTCTTGGAGAACCTTAGGCTCGATGGGTGGCTGCGGTGGGGCAACCATGCCCGAGCCCAGTCAAGAGGAGACGTCATTAAACAGTGCCCTCACTAAGCATTCACTGCCTGCGAGGCAGGCCACACCTGGCCCAGACCCTGGAGGGTGAGCGTGGTGTGTGGAAAACTCCTGGATCAGCCAAGTGGGTATGCAGCGGGTGAGTGGGACCCTTGATCCAGGGGTGGGTGGACCCTCCTGGCTGCTCCAGAACCTTGAAGCCACACCTTGGGGGAAGGGGCCATCCTCTAGTCTTAGCATGGGACTCCAGTGGGGGAAATCACTTCTTGCCACCGGCTTGGCCTTGCTTGCCTCTTCCCTTGGGCTTGCGTCCTTACTTCTCCTTGTAGAACCAGGGTGGGTTGAAGAGGTGAAGGGGGAATTCTGGGGATGTCAGGGTTCCCTGGGAAAGCAGCCAGGGCCCCTTTGGGAAGAGTGTTCAGTGCAGGCAGCTGCCCATCACCCACTGGTGAAGTGGGGTACAGAGGTGCGTATGACCACGCCATTGCATCTCACAGAGCAAGCCCCTGGTAGGTGGAGGAATAGCGAAGGGAGCAAGAGGGCTCCTAAAGAGGCAGGCACTGGGGCTTGGCAGTCAAGTGCAGCCAAGGAGAGCCTGGGGCCCAAGGGGTCCAGGAAGCTCCACCTCCAGCCTCCCCACAAGCCCTATCGTCCTCCTGCCATGTCTCCAGGCCCCATGTCCCTGGTCTCTGCCTCCTGCCCTCCCATGGTCTGGGCTTGGTCTTCTCCCTCCACACAGGGCTTTGGGGCTCAAGTGCCTTCACCCCAAATAGAGAATTGTGGTCACTCTATTCCAGGTGCTTCTTGACTCCCTGGTGTGCTAGTCAGCATTTTTACTGCAGTTTACCATGTCTGGAAGTTTCTGCACTGCAGGAGCTCATAGCTCTGGAAGGGTGAAGGCTGTGAGCAAGGCCACACTGCCAGGGTGGCTCTTCCCCACATCAACCTACTCTTAGGTTCCACAACTGAGGTGCTGTTTCCAGAGAACACCCAGGTCCTGCCTGTTTCTGCTGCCGGCGCGGGTGGCCCCTGCCCAGGTCCCCGTGGAGGCTCCCAGAGTGTGGCCAACCTTTCTTGCAGCTGCCAGCCTGGCTCAGGGGCTGCCTGGATTGATTGGCCTCAGGAGGAGGAGCCCCTGCTGGGACTGTCCATGCTCAAGGCTGCCAGCAGTCCAATGCTGCCTGTCCTCGAGTTCCCGGGCTCATTGTGGTTGTGTTTTTATAACTTGGGCTGATTTAACACTGCCTGTCAGAGTTGGTCAGGGAGTGAGCCTTTGTCTGACCCTCATGCAGTCCAGAAGTCGACCAGGTACTGTGATCATTTTTCTCTCTTCCCAAGCGCAAGAGGGAAGCAGGTAAATTTTACAACTGTAGCTGTTTACTTAGGATAAATCACTGCCACTGAAATCTTCACTTTCTGCTTTACCTGCACGTTCCATTGGTGTGATAGGATGTCCTTGTGTCCAGCAAAAAGGAGGCCAGCCATCTGCCTGGGATGTGGTTACCAGACTGTAGAATCATTGTGCTCTTCTCTCCAGGGTGTCCCTGTGGCTGAGACACTCCGGGACTAGGGCCTTGGTGGCATTCACTACAGGCTGTCCTGCAGAGGCTTCGGCCAGACTGAGGCAGGCCTGATGTTGGGCTCTGAGGGTTTGGATGGGCTGGCAGGTCCCTGGCAGGCTGAGAGTGGGGCCTTGCTGGGGTGTAGGCCTTGGGCAACCCCTCCCCCATGCTGCCTTCCCGAGGTACCATGGCCCAGCAGCCTGGCAACCCGGCAGCCTGGCTGGCATTTCCTGTGCTGGCAGGGGTGCCAAGGGGCCAGGTACCTCCCATGAGACGCTCAGTTTGTGTGGGTGTTCCCCTTGGAGAGTGGATCAGGGGCCTTCAAGCTCGAGAGGAGACGGATTGCTTGCTAAGCCTGGGCTTCAGGGGCCTGAATTAGTGCTTTTGTTTCTACTTCCTCCCCCCCATTCCAATTTTGAACAAGAAAGCCCACCCTGTGATTAGGCTAATCCCATAGTAGTACTGCCTCCTTGGAAGATGTTTGCATACAGAAAGGTTGAGGGCAGCGCTGCCTGGAGCCCACGTGGAATGAACTTGAAGCTTGCTGGGTGTGGGCTGGCAACTTGCAGTTTGGATGGTCACCCTGGTCTCTGACCTTTGAATGTAGTGGTGGGTCAGATGTTCCCAGCCCCAGAGGCTCAGTGGTCCCCATCTCCTCAGTCCTTCTAGCTGGCCCCCTGACTTCTGTGGCCAGTCCCACCATCCACTGTGGCCAGCTGTGGCCCACATGAGTCTCTGCACCACTACTGCTGCCCTTGGCCCTTCCAGAGCAAGGGATGCCTGGGACCATCCTGCTAGTCCTGTCTTTGGGACTCTGTTCCTGGTGACCTGGGGGCTTGGGCATCTGTCTTGGGTCTTGCCCAGCGTCTTCTTGCTTTGGCCAGTTTGAAGGGAGCTCTCTGTTGATGTTCCCATATCCTGCATTCTTCAAAGAGGCAACACTCGTGTACTTGATCAACTGGGTGGTGGGCAGAGTAGAAACCAAAACTGTTGTAATTCTCACTCATGAGGATGAGAAGAGGCCCAGGTTATCTCTGTGCAACTGGACAAGGTCTTTTGTAGAGAGATTTCAGTCGCACATACAGGGTCAAGGATGCCCCCTCAGGATGCATCTGCTGCTGCCCACCTCCTCCTAGATGTGCCCTCAGTGATCAATTCAGAGTGGGTGGCCTGAAAGGGGACACCAGGGACTCTGAGGGGGCCCTGAGGCACAGGCTGGCAGTCATGCACCCCCACTGGCTCCCATCTCCAGGTCCCTCGGTAGCTGTGATACAGATCAGGGAGGCACACATGGGCTGAAGAAACAGGGCACATCCATGCCAGTGAGGACAGCACATGACCCTGTCCTAGCAATGGGTTACAGGACCTGGATACCAGCCAGTCATGTTCTCTGTGCTGTGCTGTAGCGGCCATTCCCAGAGAAGTGTCAACTCTTATGGGCAGGAATGCCGAGGTAAGCAGGGGCTCAGATGCCTACCAAGTGGCCACATTGGTATGGCTCCCCAGCACCTGTGTGGCGGCCACCCTGGAAGCAGGGAACAGAGGGCTCCGAATGTTGGGCTCTTACCCTATTTTTCCCGTGAGTTTAGGACAGGATATTCAGAGAAGCTGAGTTCTGTTTGCATTTTCAGTAACTCATAACCTCATATCTGAAAAAAGCCTTATGCCTTTCACCACGTACATCAAGTCTAAAAAAAAAGTTATGTTTTGTCACTTGAAAAATGCAATTCTGTATAGAGATGTGCATGGGATAACACTGACATGTGTGCACATATGTGGATGTGCACGCATAGCCCACGCTTGTGTCACATGTGTTGCTGGCCCTGAGTGGGGCCCTGACTGCATCTCTGCACCACCCCACACAGCAAGTGGGGTGTGTAACCAATCAGGACCACCTTGCATCCAGCCAGCTGCCAGAGCTCCGTCTGCTTGCCCTAGACGTGACTGACACAGCTCTGTCCCCAGCTCCCCAAGGAGCCGCGTGCCAGATGCTTCCCGCAGGGCACCTGCAGAGGTATTCTGGGGGATGCACTGCTTTTTAAAATGGAATTATATCATTAGTACCTGCTGGGATTAGCTCTGACATTGGGCTTAGCCATCCTGACATCACCTCCTCTTGTTCAAAGACTGAAGGGTGATCTGGGGGCCCACCCACGTGTAGCTGCCCTGTTGGGAGTTCTCATTCTGTATTAGGGTATGTGCCTGCGTGCATGTGTGTGCATGCATGTGCCTGTGTGAGTGTATGCACACGTGTGTATGACAGGTGTATGCATCTGAGTGTGTGCAAGTGTGTGCATTACATGTATGTGCAGGTGTGTGTGCACAGGAGCATGTGTCTGTGTGTTAGTATACACGTGTGCCTTTGTGTGCACCAGGTGCAGTGTAGAACTGAATATGGGAGAAGATTTACATGACTACAGCAGATATATCAGAGATTCTGCTGGATTACAGCATCCTGTGTTGCCTGCCCTGTCCCTGGGTCCCCCATACCTGCTCTGGGAAGCTGGTTTTCCTCATCCTGCACCAGGCATGGTGGGGTAGATGGGCTGTGGGGACCTCAATCTGGCCTTCCATGGGCCAAGAATTCTCTCAGATGACGCTTTCCCAAGACCCCCCCACTGTCTGGTGACCTCCAGTGCTTCATAGTGTCTCCTACATCAGCCCTGGCCCCAGGAGGCCCAAGGGGCAGAAGGAAAGCCTTGCACTTCTCTACTGGGTCTCTCAGGACAGGTGCTGTGTGCCATTGACCACACATGCCCTTCACCACCAGGCAGTTGGCTCATTTGTGACACTGTGCATCATGTTGCATGTCATGGCTCAGCCTCTAGAACATGCACCCTGTACCTTGGGTGACTTGTCTGAACCGTCAGCCTCAGTGCCCACAGGCTGACCACTTGTGGGCACAAAGGCTGCAGGGTCTTCCTCCCGCACTCAGCCCCACAGACTTACCCCATGCTTTGTCTCTGTCTCACAGGTTGGTGGTCGGAGCCAGCTGTATCCTTTTCCAGAGTGCGTATGACCATCCTAGGACATGGACACTCCTTCTCTGGACCCCCTCCCACCCCCCCTGAGCAAGCACTTTGCTGCCTCAGACCAGACACTTACTGGGCCTCTCAGGGTAGAGGACCTGTGCTCGGGGGACAATTTGAGGCTGACCTCTGTGGCCAGGGCTTCCTGGAGGCTCTTCCTGAGTCGTACACTGAGACAGCCTAGGCAGCCGGGACAGCTGGATGCAGCCGTGGGGCTGCCGGGCTGGCCCCCTTGAGAGCAGCCCCTTCCACCCGTCCCTTCAGAAGGGGCCACCAGACCAGGGAGGGTCAAGAGAGGAGCAATGGGGGTGGGGAGCCAGGGTCAAGAGAGAGGATGTGGAGGGAGGATGAAAGGCAGAGAGCCCGGAAGACAGCCGCCACATGCCTTCCATGGCTGAGGGGCTTCCTAGCCCACCCAGCAGTGCTCCATTGTGACAGGGACCCACAGGACGCAGCCCGTGGAGGCTGAGATGAACTCTGCAGCTGATACAGACATGCAGGGAGGAAGAGAGTGGCCTGGCCAGGGCATTCTGCTGGGTGTCTCTGGCCCCTGAGACGTAGGGTGGGATCTTGTGCTGGGAACCTCCTCTGGGGCTGGTGTGGTTGGGTGGGGCCCTGGGCCCTGCCGCTTCTTCTGAAGTCTTGGTGTGTCAGGTTCCTTAGCTGCACCCAGATGTGGCCTTGGAATGTGCTGGCTTCCTCACTGGGATTGGCCTAGACACCACTGTCATGGTGCGCAGCATCCCCCTGCGTGGCTTCGACCAGGTAGTGCCCCAGGCCCCAGCTCCCTTGGGGGGGGAGTCCTTTCCACCCACCACCCCTGCCCAGGCAGATGCCGGTGCCAACATGGTCCTGGAGCCGCGCATGAATCTTTAGAAACAGGCTTTTACATTGGATGAAGAGCTTGTTCAGGAAATATGAAAGTACTCGGCCAGGGCAAGGGAGGAGGGATGGTGTGAGGGACATAGGACTGCACAGACACAGCTCCCTCAGACAGAAGGAACGGTAAAGGGACAGTGCAGGAGATATGTGGGACACCCAGCCCAGCCTTACACTGGCAGGTGGCATCACCCTCCCCATGGCTGCTGGGTGTGTGTCACAGAAGTGTAACCCCATTTCAGAGGCCCCAGTTCCCTGTTCCCGCCTTGCCCAGCCCCTCTAGGGTCTGCCAGGGGCTGAAATGAGATATAATGTGTGAGCCAGGGTGATGGATGCAGACAACACTGGCTCCAGTGAGCCCGCATGGTCACGGCGCCTGCATAACACGTGTATAAATGCACAGGTAGGCGGAGCCCTCATCTGTGTCTAGGGTGTATGCACCCAGGTAGATGGCAGGACGTACCCACTCAGTTGGAGCAGAGGGGATTTTCTTCTTTAACTAAAAACTCTTCAAGGAAAAGTCTCCTTCTAAAACTGAAGTCTGGGGTTGCCATGTAAGACATCCAACACTCTATGGCCCCCATGAAGAAGACCATTGTGTGGTAGAGCTACAGCGATCTGAGGGGCCCTTCCTGGATCTGTGGCTGATCCATGGCTCATAGAGGCCTGGCGAGGTTGCCCCCCACCCCTGTCTGGGCCAATTCAGAGATGTGTCTGTGCATCTCTGTCCTATGTGACTGTGTGTTGCTCCATCCTAAAGCTGTGGCACACATCCGCTGCATCCCTCAGTGCACATACACTGAGCCCAGTGGTCAGGATGCAGCATCTGGGAAGGCTCTGAGCCTTAATGCCAGGAGAGTGCTGGGTAGGAGGCAGAGAGGGGTGAGGGCTGTGCCAGGCAGGAGACTGCCCTACCTAAGCACAAGAAAGCTACACAGCCCTGGCAGCCAGGCTGAGGGATGAGCAGGCCCAGCAGTTCCCCTGAGAGACCCAGACAGCCAAGCCCATCAGGCATCTGGAGGGGCTCAGGAGGGGTGGGCAGCAGCTCCTCTGCTGCTGGATGATGGGTCGTCCCAGATGGCAGGGCCCCCATACACACCACCGAGAACCACTGGCTCGCCTGGACAGATGTCTGGGGATTTCAGCACTGACTGTTCATCTCCTCTTGAAATGGGAAGCTGTGGCCAACCTCACTGTTGGCCAGTGCAAAACCCCAGTAACCTAGGGAATGAGTCTCCATCTGTAGCCAAGTAGGGGATACATGGGATCCCTGGGCCAGGAGGGAGGATGAGAGCCTCTCCACCCCACATCTGTGCCCACTGTACCTACATTTCTAGGTGGTAGTATAGACTTCTGCCTATTGTCCAGGTGGGGGAGGCTGGCTGAGCAACAGGGCCAGGTAGGAAGCAGAGGGCCCTCTGACTGGACCCAGGCAGAGCCCCCAGGAGAAAGGTTGCTTCTCTGCTAATGGCTTTAGTGAAGACTTAGTTGGTTGGCATCTATAGAGTAGCCCACAGGCCAAGTGCGTCCTGACCAAAGAGCCAGGGTCTAAGGATTTGGAGCCTGGTGGTGGCCTGGTTGAGCTCCATAGAGAGTGAGGGGCCTGGCGCAGGGGTAATAGGCACCCCACCTTCTCCCCTTGACAGCTTTCTCAGGCTCTTGCTGGGTCTTTGAGGGCAGGTGAGGGGCCCAGGGCCTCAACCCGTGGCCACCTGGTCCTCATGGCCTGTCCCCCTGTGCCCTGCAGCAAATGTCTTCCTTGGTCATGGAGCACATGGCAACGCATGGCACCCGCTTCCTGAGGAGCTGCACCCCCTCCCATGTTGGGAGGCTCCCAGATGGGCAACTGCAGGTTACCTGGAAGGACCACACCTCTGGCAAGGGGGACACAGGCACCTTTGATACCATCCTGTGGGCCATAGGTAAGGGCACATTGGATCACACACTTGCTCTGTCTCTGGCTTCCCTGAGGCACAGAGAACCTCTGCAGTTGGTATCTCTACCTTGCCCCCATCACCTCCAGGCACCTCTGTCCTGTCAGCCCCAACCCCTGTGCCTCTCATGTCATCCTACACTGCCATGGGACATGCTGGAAACACACACTGTCAGCCAGGGGTTGCCATTGGGAGGGACCAGTGGTCCTCCTGGTCTCAGGCCTTGATGGATGGCTTATCAAGGCTCAGCACACACATCCTGCACATGTCCTGCCAGATCTAAGCCATGGTATGTTTCTTTCTTTTTTTTTTTTTTTTTTTTGGTTTTTTGTTTTTGTTTTTGTTTTTTGAGTTGGATTCTCACTCTTCTGTCCAGGCTGGGGTGCAGTGGCATGCTCACTGCCACCCCAGCATTGACCTGGGCTCAGGTGATCCTTCCACCTCAGCCTTCCAAGTAGCCGGAACTACAGGTGTGCACTACCACCCCCAGCTAATTTTTTTTTTAAATTTATTGTAGCTACAAGGTCTCACCAAGTTGCCTGGGCAGGTCTCAAACCCATGGGCTCAGACAGTCCACTCGCCTCGGCCTCCCAAAGTGCTGGGATTACAGGCTGAGCCACTAAACCCGGCCTCTTTTTTTTTTTAAAGCAGGATTTATTGAGAAGACAGAAAAGCTCCTACAGTGAGAGGGGACTTTAGGGGGTTGCCCTGTTTCTTTCTTTAGCATATAAGATATTTTGCTTTATAGCTCTTCAAGCTAGTAATTTTTAACACAAAAAGATGTATATTTGAAAGTTTTAAAAATTGTACCAACATGTACATAACATAAGATTCACCATCTTTAACCACTTTCAAGTGTGCAGTTCAGTGGTATTAAGTACATTCCCCCATGGCCAGCACCACTATCCATCCTCATCTCAAATTGTCAGTGTATCGCTGCTAAACACCAACTCCCCAACCCCTCCCCCAACCCCGGCACCTACCATTCTGCTTTCTGTCTCTGTGAATCTGATGACTCTAAGGACCTCATGTAAGTGAAATCCTACACCCTCTGTGCTTTTGTGACTGGGTTATTTAGCAGAGCATCAGGTCCTCAAAGTTCACCCTTGTTCCCAGAGTCAGAATTTCCTTCCTTTTTAAGACTAGTAATTTTGTTTATCCCTTTATGTGTTGGTGGACACTAGGGTTGCTTCTGTCTTGGCTTGGTGAATGCTCTCGTGAACACAGGTGTGCACAACCTGTTTTCAACATCTCAAAATGACACAATTCCTTTACGTTCTAGCCAGTCTTCCTGGGGCTGCCGGCACTTCCCAGTGTGTTGCTCTGGGCTGTGCAGGTCGTCATGTGCCAGACGTGGACATCCCACTACCTTTCCAAAAGTATACTTTGAAGGCTTCTAGAAGCCGTGTCCAGTGCTGGGCAGAGGCCTCGGACTTGGGCTTGGGCTAGGTCTGGTCTCAACCTCACTCTCTGTCAGGTGTGAGTCCAGTCTTGGGGGGCAGAGGTCAAGCAGGTATGGCCATGCAGAAGTAGCCTGGTGCTGGCCTTACCAAACACACTGCCTTCCTGGCTGGGACCCCCAAGGACAGGGTGAGAAGTGTGTACTTAGCTGGGAGAGACTTCTGCCCAGGGTCCAGGCCGTTGGCAGGGGCTGGGGAAGGGCAGATTGGGTCCAGGGGTGGGCCCAGATGCCAACCTTCCACAGCCTGCTGCATGACTGCGGTGCGAGGGCTGCTACAAATGGGCTCCAGCGAGGAGAGCTGCAGGTCCCATCCTGTCATAGAGTGTGGAGTGGTACACACAGGTGCCCCCCTGGATGCCCCTGTCCACCTCAGTACCTGCATTCTTCTAGTTTTTTATTTTTTATTTTTTTTTGAGTTGGAGTCTCACTCTGTTGTCCAGGCTGGAGTTCAGTGGCATGCTCACAGCCACCCCAGCGTCGACCTGCTGGGCTCCAGCAATCCTTCCACCTCAGCCTTCCAAGAAGCTGGAACTACAGGCGCGCGCTACCACGCCCAGCTCATTTTTTGTGTTTATTGTAGAGACAAGGTCTCATCAAGTTGCCTGGGCTGGTCTCGAACCCATGGGCTCAGGCAATCTTCTCGCCTCCGCCTCCTAAAATGCTAGGAGTATAGGCTGAGCCACCAAGCCCGGCCATTCATCTAGTCTTGGCTCAGGGTTTCCCAACTGCCCTGTCAACTTGCCTGTTGATGATAAGAACCTACTTGGTATTTCTAGTTCTCTGGGGTGGCTGCAGGCTCAGAACACCATCCCTCTCAGATCATTGACTGTCGCTACTCTATCGTTCGTGTTTGCTGCCTGGGAGCTGCCCCATCAGCATTGTAGAGGCTTGGCTAGCCAGTGTCCCAGGGCGGGGCTCAGGGAGGAGCAGGCCACGTCATAGAGCAGTGCACTTCAGAGCAAGGCACTAGGATCTGTGGGAATCAGAAAGGAAATCAGTCAGGGTGTCAAACCCTTTGCTTTTGTACAGTGGATTTGAGAGCAGATTGGATGAGCAAGAAAGGAGCTGAAATGCCTGGCGTCAACTTAGGGCCTCTTGATACAGAGTTGATCAGTTACCAAGGGAAATGTCATTGACCACATTGTAAATCTTAAGTAGGTTTGTGTTAGACCTGAAAGTGTGCAGTTGTTTATTATTGTAAATTCCATTCTGAACAGAGACATGGGACATCTCCCATTCTACCCATATCCCAGCCCTCCTCCTCTGTCCTTGGACGTCCCTCCATTCCCCCCATGGGCACACAGGGCCCTTGTCTTGCCCTTGGACACAGGGGTCAGCCATGCAGTGAGACGCTATCAGCCAAGCCCACAGTGATGGCAGAGACTCAGCGGGCCTGTGCCCTCGGGAGGCCTGGGGTCCTCTCACTCCCAGGCGCAGCCTGCTGGTGACAGGCAAGGCCCCCGCCTAGCAAAGCTGCTGTGCTGCTTATGCCCACCCTCCCTCACTGGGGTTTGTTTTATTTTTTTGTATTTTCAGAAAGAGCATCCCCCAGACAGTCTGCCCAGCATGATTGATGCTGGGTGGGAGCCTCTTGCAGTCCTTGGCCTCTGACCCTGCTTCCTGAGGGTGGCGCTTTCTGGCACGCCTGCAGGGGGCTGCACGGGCATGTGCTGACTTTACCACTTGCTCAAAGCCAGGTTTTGTAAACATTTGGGAGCAACTTCCCAGGTTAACAACTGGGAATGCTTTCTGCTGGTTTGTGAGATAAGCCTTTAGCCAAGTGCTATTTCTACTTGCCATAGAGGATGATCCACTCCAGGAGGTTAAAATAAAACGCCCTCAGAGGCTGTACAGCGGGCCCCACTGCCATCTCCGTGGACCCTGCTTCCCATCCTGGGCGAGTGCTGCATCACTGCTGGGCTCTGAAGAGAAGGGAGAATGCCTGTGCCCCCTGGGCACATACACAGGTGGACCCGTGTGCTGCATGGAGCCCCTCATGGGGCTGCACTGGCCCTGCCCACCGCCTGTATGCCTGATGCCCACCTGCAGCCAGGACAGTGGGATGCTGGCATCACGAAGCAGCCCTGTAGTCTGGAAGCCTGGGAGGACTGGGCCCTTCCTCCGCAGCCTTGATCTCCCCTGGTGGATTAAACACATTAGCAGTTAAAGCAGCTAATTGCTGTGCAGGGGGCCCCTCATTGTTTGTCTCTGAATCACCCGCCCACGCCAGGTGTCTCAGATAATAGACTGGGAACTTCAGTGAGGAGGATTTCCTGTCTGCAGATGTGCCGATTACAGCGCTGAGTGAAGACAGTCAGCCTGCACTGCGGGCTCGAATTCGCCCGCGAGTTAACCAGTTGTGGCCTGAATCCCGGTGTCTGCCGGAGCAGGGTGGGTGGTGTCTCCCAGCACAGAGGCTCCTGTACTGGTGGGGTTTTAGAGAAAGGACAGACTCTCTGGGCTGTATCCCTGGGAGATGGAGTTGAAATCATCAAGGGCCTCTCCATATCCCAGCCCCTCTGGGCAGTGCTCTGTTCTGTGCTGGAGGAAAGACGAGGAAACCTCCAGTGCACTTGTCCATACATACATGAGTCCTTTCCATGGCCAACAGAGCCAGAGTGCAGAAGAGGGGCCTCACCCAGCCCATGGTGCCTGCAGCCAGGGGCCATGGTGCCCCGTCCCTGGTACCAGGGAGGATCTCTGTGTGATTGGCGATACCTAGGGGAATAATCCACCCAAATCTCGCCCCTGGCCACCAAGGCCATTTCCTCCTCTTCAGCCTTTGTCTTAGGCAACTTTGAGGTGTCCTCCATGTGTAGCCCAACTTCTGAGCCTCCAGCACAGTGTGCAAGGAGCCCTGTCTCTGGGGCATCACATGGAGTCACCTCATGCAACATGTGCCCCTGGACTGTGGCTAGGGGGACAGGAGTGCCTGAGGTACAGTGTTGGGGTCTGTGGTGCCCAGGAAGGGTGCACATCACCCAGCCCAGGACTGCATACTCATATGTACGTGGTGGACAGCTGTCCTTGTTCAGCTGTGCTCCCCATACCACAGACACGGCCACACCAAGCCCTGCAGAATATCCCCTGTGGGTGACAGGCAGCAAGGAAGAGCAGGAAGCAAAACAAAACCAAGCCCCTAGGCTGGGAACTTGTGTGCAGGAGTGCTCTGAACCCCACAAGAGGGAAGAGACAACTTAGCCCAGTGCATCTTGGAGGCCCTGAGGGGTGTCTGCAGCTCTCCATGCTGGCCCCGTGGACACCAGAGAGGCACTGGCAGCCCTTGCTGATGTGGGCACAATGCAGTAGGGAGTGGGAAGTCTGCCCATCCGACCTTTTCTCTGGGACAGTGCCTTGCTTCAGCTGTGGGAAACTGAGTCCCCCAGGGGGGATTCAGAGTGACCCGGGAGGGCTTGCCAGTACTCCCTTCACTCTCAGGGTGGAGTGGCTAGCCCCAGCAGGGGACATAGATCTGAAGTGCCTCTTTGGTAGTCTAACACCTTTTTATTTTGGCGTGAATTTAAAG